TGGCTGTCCCCTGTCCCTGTGGCTGTCCCCTGTGGCTGTCCCCGTCCCCACGGCGGCTGTCCCCGCAGGTGGCCGAGCTGGCAGTGGACAGTCTGTGTCGGGGGGTGTTTGCCGGGGACAGCCGAGCCCTGAGCGCGCGCTCCTGCTTCCCCGCGCTCTTCCGGGCCGAGCGGCGCCGCGGCTCCGTCCTGCTGGGCATGGCCCTGGGACACGGTGGGGACAATGGGGACAATGGGGACATGGGGGACACTGGGGACATTGGGGGCATTGGGGACATTGGGGACAATGGGGACATTGGGGGCATTGGGGACAATTGGGACATTGGGGACACTGGGGACAATGCTGGGGCTCCGTCCTGCTGGGGCTGGCACTGGGACAAGGTGGGGACATTGGGGACGCTGAGGGGACACTGGGGACATGGGGGACATTGGGGACACCGGGGGCATTGGGGACAATGCTGGGGCTCCGTCCTGCTGGGGCTGGCACTGGGATAAGGTGGGGACATTGGGGACACTGCTGGGGACAATGGGGACATTGCCGGGGCTGGGATCTGGCAGGCGCTGGCACAAGGGGACACTCTGGGGACACCCCAGGGTCACCCCAGTGTGACGGGGACGCCGCTGGGCTGGTGCTGGCATCTGCTGGGGTGGGGACACGGGGCTGGCACAGGGGACACCCTGGGGCTCCCGTCGCGCGTTGTCACCGCCGTTGTCGCCGCAGGTGAGCGCAGGGCGGGCCCGGAGGTGGCCCTGGCGCGGCGAGCGCGGGCCGAGCGCTGGAGCCAGTGGTCCCTGCGGGGGGGGATGGAGTCCCTGGCCACCGCCTTGGTGGCCTTCGTGTCCCCCCGCGGCGCCGAGCTGCGCTGCCACGCGCCCCTGAGACACCTGTGCCACCGCCGAGGCCGCTGGCAGGTGGGGACACCGCCGGTGCCACCCGGTGCCCCTCCCTGTGTCCCTGGGGTCACCTCCCCAGTGTCTCCAGTCACCCGAGCCCCTCCCCAGGGTCCCTGGGGAGTTCCCAATCCCCAGTGTCCCCCAGTGTCCCCCAGTGTCCCTCTCTCTCCCCAGCTCACTTTACCTGACCGCACCATCACGGCCGATCACGTGATCAGCGCCCTGCCGGCCTCAGGTACGGCCGGGCCACCGCTCCCGTGTCCCTGATGTCCCCTCACCGTGTCCCTGATGTCCTCTCACCATGTCCCTGATGTCTCCTCGCTGTCCCCTCTGTGTCCCTGCTGTCCCTCACTGTGTCCCCGCTGTCCCCTCGCTGTCCCCTCACTGTCCCTCACCGTGTCCCCGCTGTCCCTCACCGTGTCCCCACTGTCCCCACCGTGTCCCCGCTGTCCCCAGCGCTGGCCCAGGCGCTGTCCCCGCTGTCCCTCACCGTGTCCCTGCTGTCCCTCACCGTGTCCCCGCTGTCCCCTCGCTGTCCCCTCACCGTGTCCCCGCTGTCCCCAGCGCTGGCCCAGGCGCTGTCCCCCGAGGCGGAGCCGCTGGCTCGGGAGCTCCGCGCCATCCGGGCCGCCTCGGTGGCCGTGGTCAACCTGCAGTACGAGGGGGCCACTCTGCCCGTCACGGTGAGAGCTGGGGGGGGGGGGGTCCCCAAAGTGTCCCCAAGCCCCGCGGTGTCCCCAAGGCCCGGCGGTGACCCCAGCCCTGTCCCCTCGCAGGGTTTTGGTCACCTGGTGCCATCCTCGGAGGACCCCGCGCTCTTGGGCATCGTTTATGACTCGGTGGCGTTCCCGGAGCTCGACGGGACCCCCGGGACCACCGGGACCCCCTCGCTGAGACTGACGGTGGGGACAGCGGGGGTGGCACTGGGGGACACCGGGGGTGGCACTGAGGGACACCGGGGACAGCGGGGGTGGCACTGGGGGACACCAGGGACACCGGGGACAGCGGGGGTGGCACTGAGGGACACCGGGGGTGGCATTGAGGGACAGCGGGGGACTGACAGGATGATTTTGAGGTGTCCCAGGTGATTTTGGGGTGTCCCAGGTGATTTGGGGGCTCACAGGGTGGTTTTGGGGTGCCCCAGGCGGTTTTGGGGTGTCCCAGGTGATTTTGGGGTGTCACAGGTGATTTTGGGGTGCCCCAGGTGATGCTGGGGTGCCCCAGGTGATTTGGGGGCTCACAGGGTGGTTTTGGGGTGCCCCAGGTGATTTTTGGGGTGTCCCAGGTGATTCTGGGATGCCCCAGGTGATGTTGGGGTGCCCCAGGTGATTTTTGGGGTGTCCCAGGTGATGCTGGGCGGGGCCTGGTTCCGGGACATTTTTGGGGACCCCTCTGCCGTGGCTCCGGAGCTGCTGCTGCGCCGGGCCCGGGAGGCCGTGAGGGAGCACCTGGGGCTGCCCGGGACCCCCACCCGGGCCATGGTCAGGGTGCAGCAGGTGGGGACACCTGGGGGACATTTGGGGACACTTGGGGGGCTCTGGGTGACACCTGGGGGCTCTGGGTGACACCTGGGGGGCTCTGGGGGACACTTTTGTGGGGATCTGGGGTGGGTGACACTTCTTGGGGGGTTCTGGGGGTCACTTTTGGGGGGGCTCTGAGTGGGTGACACTTTTTGGCGGGGGGGGGCTCACCTGTGTCCCCCCCCCTTTTTTTTCCCAGGACTGCATCCCCCAGTACACGCTGGGACACTGGGAGCGCCTGGGTGAGAGGGGCGGGGGGGTGTCCCCTGTCCCCGGGGTGTCCCTTGTCCCCTGGGGGGTGTCCCCTGTCCCCGGGGTGTCCCTTGTCCCCGGGGGGTGTCCCCTGTCCCCGGGGATGTCCCCAGGGCTGTCCCCTGTCCCCGGGGATGTCCCCAGGGCTGTCCCCTGTCCCTGGGGGGTGTCCCCTGTCCCCGGGGATGTCCCCAGGGCTGTCCCCTGTCCCTGGGGGGTGTCCTCTGTCCCCGGGGTGTCCCTTGTCCCCTGGGGGGTGTCCCCTGTCCCCGGGGTGTCCCCTGTCCCTGGGGGGTGTCCCCTGTCCCCGGGGATGTCCCCAGGGCTGTCCCCTGTCCCTGGGGGATGTCCCCTGTCCCCGGGGATGTCCCCAGGGCTGTCCCCTGTCCCTGGGGGGTGTCCCCTGTCCCCGGGGATGTCCCCAGGGCTGTCCCCTGTCCCTGGGGGGTGTCCCCTGTCCCCGGGGATGTCCCCAGGGCTGTCCCCTGGGGGTGTCCCCTGTCCCCGGGGATGTCCCCAGGGCTGTCCCCTGTCCCCGGGGGTGTCCCCAGGGCTGTCCCCTGTCCCTGGGGGGTGTCCCCTGTCCCCGGGGACGTCCCCAGGGCTGTCCCCTGTCCCCGGGGGTGTCCCCAGGGCTGTCCCCTGTCCCCGGGGATGTCCCCAGGGCTGTCCCCAGCTGCCGTCTCTGTCCCCCAGAGCGGATCCAGCGGTTCCTGGAGGAGCAGGAGCTGCCCCTGAGCCTCATCGGTGCCTCCTACTCGGGGGTCTCGGTCAACGACTGCATCTCCAGCGCCAAGGCGGCCGTGGGGAGGATTTTGGGGTTCCCCCCCTGAACCCCCCCCCCCTCCCCAATACAGGGATCCCCCTCGGCCGCCACCGTAGGACAAAGTGATTTTTTTTTTTAATTGAAAAAAACCCTTTTTAGAAAGGTGCAGGGGAGCGGCTCATAAATAGAATAAATACCCGACGTGGGGACCCCCAAAATCCCGGGGGGGGCGTCGCGGGAGGTGGGGAGGGGGGTAGGGCGAGCCCCTGGCTCACCCCTTGTCCCTTCCCGGGGGTGTCCCCTGTGTGTCCCCACCCCCAGCCCAGAGTTCACACGTTGGGGGGGGGTGGTTTAAATTTTGGGGGGTGGGGTGGGGCGATCACGGGGGTCCCTGCGCCACGCTCTGGTTGCCCCCCGGGGCCACCACCGCCCCTTCCTCGTGTGCCACCCGCGCTGTCGCCAACGCCGGCGACGGGGCTGTGGCGTTGAGCGGGCGCGGCGGCGACAGCGACAAGGACAGCGACAGCGGCAGGTCCCCGCGGGGGGGTTTGCGCAGCATCTCCTCGCGGAAGCTTCTGGAGCTGCCGGGGGCGCCGCGGGCGCGGGGGTCGCGGCCGATGTCCACGGTGAGGTTGGTGTAGAGCGGCCGCAGCTCCTTGGCCAGCAGCGAGTACGACAGGGAGTTCATCCCGTCCTGCGTCCACGAGCGCTGCGTGCGCACCAGCAGGTCGAACCTGGGCGGGGGCGAGGAGGGAGCGGCGCTGGTGTCGCCTCCCCCTTCCTGGGGACGCGGCAGGAGCGATGTCCCCTCCCTCAGACACGCCCGGAGTGGCGCTGATGTCCCCTCCCCACTGGGGACACTCAGGTGTCACCACTGTCCCCTCCCCATCGGGCACACTCAGGTATCCCCATGGGCACACTCAGGTGTTACCGCTGTCCCCTCCCCACTGGGGACACTCAGGTGTTACCGCTGTCCCCTCCCCACCTGGGGACACTCAGGTGTCACCGCTGTCCCCTCCCCACCTGGGCACACTCAGGTGTCACCGCTGTCCCCTCCCCGGTACCTGTGCGGGTTCTCCTCGTTGCCTTTGTCGCTTTTGTGTTTCACCATTTTGTAGTGGCCGATGGAGATGGGCGGGCGGGAGATCTTCATCCCTGCCAGGCGCACCCTGAGGGGACAGAGGGGTCACCGAGGGGACAGGGG